TGTATACAATTTTCCAGTAAAGTCAGTTAGCAATTTTTCAGTATTTATAGAAAATTAAGAAAAAAGTAATATGTTCAATTTGAAGAAGATAATAACTATATGGAAGATTCACCCAAAAGCAATTGCTCATTTGTTTATGTTTGATTGCAATTACAGAAAAATAGGGCATGTGGTTTCTTTTCCTGGTACGATCCATCCACATGTGCTCGTGGTAGACAAGTGTTGCCGAAGTTGGTGGATAAGGTTACAGCACTAGAAGAATGTGTCAATGAGGTTGCACAATTAGAGGGCTGTTCAACGTTATCGTGCATGATAAAAGTGGCTTGTCATTACCTTGATTGCTACATTGCTCATGAATGGACTATTTGTATTCCAAAATAGTGTTTAGGCTTGCTATGTAATTGATGATATGTGTTTTGGCTAGGTACATTACTTCTACAATGTGTTTCGAGGCTTAGAGCGATTCAGTCGGTTTGATGGCGATAAATTCGAGCCCACTAATATTGGACTTGCGATAAATTTGGGCCGACCAACCTTGGACTATTGGGCGTAATTAATTTAGTGGGCTCAAATAGGTCTCTAGGTTCATGGTTTCGAACCCTTTCAAGATTAAGCCAATACCTCAAAGAATGGATCTCCTCTGAGGGTTTCATCTCTTCTGAAAACTATGGTTAACCTCCTCGGATGCCCGTATGATCTGAGCCTCTTTGGATGGGCATGTTAGACTCTCTTTAGAGATATATGCTCTCGATAGGTCTTCCTCGGCCGAATTTGTTGGCTTTCTTATGGACTCATTCAATATAATTCACTTGGGCCCATTTGGCAATAATTTCTCCAAGCTTACCAAATTTTGGGCTTTTTAATTGGGTTTCGATTGGGCCTAATTAATTAGTAGGTTCAACTTAACCCCTCTTACAGAGAATAAATAGATCTTAGACATAAAAAGTTATACGCCGCTAAAATATAATAATCTAAGTGTATTTAACATTTTATTTATTGAAAATAAAATACTTGACAAAGTCATGACTATGTTGTCAATATATCATTCTTGTCCGTTGCTTGCATTTAAATTTTTTTTTTCTTGACATTTTATTCAGTCAAAATTAGTTTACCTGGCAAAGTCATGACTGCACTGTTAATAGATTACTCTTATCAATTACTTGCATTTAATTTTTTTTTCTCTACATAAAACATGCAATTAATTTGTAAATTTAGAAGAGGTGTTTGCAATTTTGCATGTTATCACAAGTCATTAGGCCCCGTTTGTTTTGGGGTGTATAGAGTGGGATGGGATTAGGATGGAGGTGAGACTTATTTAGTATTGTGTTTGTTTGTAGAGTGATATGTCCGTTGCCTTGCTGCTTTTGGGAGTGGGTCATGCATAAGAATAGGAACTGTTGAACTACTGCCTCCAGAATAGGAATTAGTTGGAGATTATTTTCAATAATGGTTGTAATGGTTGCTTATGCTTTCACAATTCGTGCCACGTTTTTATTTATGGTTGTTACATCTTGTAGTTGTGGTGTTCTCATTTGCCTTATAAATGGCCTGGGAACTTTTGCAATAAAAAGGCAGTTAGTTACAGTCTCAAAAACCTCTCTCTCTCTCTCTCACTCCAATCTCTGCTCTTCTAAGCCTTTGTTCTCTTCTTATACAAATTTCATATTACATTGACCTTACATTTTCTAACTTGGCTTATACAAAATGATTGTTAATTGGGCCTTCCAAAGTAACCCCAACATATCAATATATTAAAACTTAGAACAAAACTTATAAGATGGAGTAGGAAATCCCTACCTCGAAGAAAACAACCCAAATGGTGAAGACAGAGATGAATACCCAAATTCCAATGTGCTCCAAATCACTAAATGCTCAGATTAAATGGAAGCCCTCGATTCACTCTATCTTTTTAATAAAGGATCTAAGGTAGAAACTCACTCTAAGTAGATCAATCCTAAGAGAGATGGTGAGTAGAGGGAGAGAAAACTCGTACCTAGGGTTTTGGAATCTGAAAATGGATCAAAAACTGATCTGAAACACGCTGCTGCCTATTTAAACCTGACAGGCTCGCTCGAGCGAAGACTTGGTCACTCGAGCGACCAGACACATGAAAACCTCGCTCGAGCGAAGAAAATCTCGCTCGAGCGAATAAGCACTGCCCTCAGGTCTATACTAGACGCAATCGCTCGCTCGAGCGAAGCAAAGCTGGATTGAGCCAGAAGACACAAAATACAACCCTCGCTCGAGCGACCAAGCCCTGGCTCGAGCGACCAACCCAAAAACTGGACAGCAACACTTGGTTTACGAACCCAACCAACCTGAAACAAACCTGCCCAACACATCCTATAACTCCAAATGAGAAAATAAAGGACGACAACAACAATTATACAATGACAGAATAAACGGAACCTAAGTCCGGATACAATAATCAAATGGGAAAAGACCGGGGTCGCTATACCTACTATCATTTCTCAATCAGTCCGATAACTTTTTCAATATAAATTTTTTGAAAATCATTCAAATTAAGAAATTTTATTTAAAATTTAAACACAAGTGCTTTATTACTTATCTATGAAATAAAAAGGATGATTTTTTTAATTTTTTTTTCAGATTGGTAATACACAATAATTCATCAACTATTTTCATTTGTGATATAAATAATGATTTCTTAGTGTCTTGGGTTTTGAGATTCGGCCACTTCTTCTTCAAAATGAGTAAAAGCCTCATCGGTGTCATCTGAAACAGTTGATCGAGCGGGAGAGTGTTGAGTAGGTGGTGATGGAGCGATTGACAAGGGTGATGATGATGGACTTGCCTGATCTTGGTGAGTGTCAATGGCAGTGACAGTGTCTTCATGCTTGAGAATGTACTTCCTCCACAAATATTTGAGATCCAAGTGCACCAAGAAACTCCTGTGCTCATAAGCCAACATAGCCATAAATATAATGAGAGCAAAAGAAGCAGCAACTCCAACTATGAGAAATAGTCCCCAAAAACTATGGACACTCAGGCTACTGGAAGACACCGTACTGCTAGAGTCTGGACAACTGTTATTCTGCAACCACTTTTTTTCAATTTCTGACATTTTATCTTCTTCAATCACATGCAAGATTGCTATTGACACATCACGTACTAAATGGGAACCTTTATGAAATGCCTAGTAAAGTAAAAATCAATCAAGGTATTATAAAAGGCTAGGCGAGAAGAAATATATATATATGCACATGATGAGACAAAGGTCTTAAATAGATGAATCGGTAATATTGAGCAAAATATATTAGGTGATACAGTCATAAGTTTTTTATGATCATTTGCGACAATTTTTTGATATTTGACAACCATTTAATGCATTGCCAAAAATGCCATTTGTTGTAATATTGGTTGAAATGAGTATCAAAATTTTGAAATTCTGGTATTGATATGCTCAATATATTAGTTGTAACAAAAATGACGTGTATTGACCATTTTCTATTGATTTCCAGCCAGTTTACGAGTTGATTAGATGATTTTAAAAAATTTACAACCGCATCACTTAATTTCTAATAGGTATCATATGATATTTCTGATATTATTACACTACTACTAATTTTGATATTTCTCCCGATACCTCTATTTAACATCGTGATAGTAACTAAATCATCTGCATAGATTATATTGTGATTACAAGACTTAAATAATGGTATCGAAGAGATCAATAACCCGATATGTATTGGCCAATACAGTATGCATTACCCAATTTGTATCAGAAAGTTGCCAAAATTTAAAACCATGAATGTGAGAGAGAGAGAGAGAGAGAATATACAAAGCCAAAGCCGCCAGTCTTGTGGGTTGGTGCAACCATGGTATATTTTGAGCAATGTCTTCCAGTAAAGAGTTTCAAGTAAGGAATTTCATCGAAAGCTACAACTATACTTCGATTCGAGAGAGCGGCATCCAATTCTCCTTCCACGGATTATAGCCCTTAAGCTGAGAATCATTGAAATTCATTCGTTTCAAGATATCATGAATAAATGAGACTTTTGGATAACCAACTGATTGCCCTTTATTTATAAGCTCTTGCACATCAGTAATAGATGGTTCAAGTTGATGAACTGTCAACAGTGAGGTTAAGCTAGCTGTGTAACTTTGAGTCAGAATTAACACCACGAAACACCATATGATCACCACAAACCTCGCCAAGTTACTTACTACTTTCTCCTCTGTAATAAATGTTATTTTGGTAATTAGTATAAATAGAAAAAACAAATAAACAAACTTAGAAAGCATTCTTAAAGGCTAACATTACTATTAAAATGGATTTTAGACCATTATTATTGTTATATATGATTGACCAAGAAAGCATTCAAACTCTTGGGTTGTGATGCTGTGGGTATATGATGAGAGTATTAATGCGTAGCTGCAGCACCAACAGCAGTCTAAGTTCAAGCAGCTCAACCAAGGGCTGCAGCCTCAACACAAGTGTGTGCAAGTGAATTGCACATGTAAGGCATCAAGAGTAACTAGTCTAGATTCAAGATCAATAACAGGCTTGTGATTGACCAAGAAAGCATTCAAACTCTTAGGTTGTGATGCTGTGGGTATATGATGAGAGTATTAATGCGTAGCTGCAGCGCCAACAGCAGTCTAAGTTCAAGCAGCTCAACCAAGGGCTGCAGCCTCAACACAAGTGTGTGCAAGTGAATTGCACATGTAAGGCATCAAGAGTAACTAGTCTAGATTCAAGATCAATAACAGGCTTGTACAAGTACAGGTGTAATAGAGAAAGGGGATTGGTAAGTTAGAGTTTGATATAAATATCTGTAATCTCTTGTTAATTGATTCATCCAATACAGCATTCAATTTCTTGTTAGTATATCATGGAATTTCAATCATACAGATTATGTTCAAATTTTAGATTTGAATATGTTAGTTTTGGAAATGCCTCCCCTCCATATTACTATTTTTCATATTCTTTAATACTTTAATTTGTGAGTCTCATTTTGGATCCACGATGATGATCCGAACTATTAATCTCATAATTTTTGTAGCGAAGACTATTTGTGATATCAATGAACAAATAAAAAAATCACATTTTGTTTTATAAACTCATAATCGTTGTCCATCTTAAAAAATAAAATGTAATTTTGTCATATGTCTAGTGATATCTGACGAAATTGATTTTCTGCACAAGTCATCTTTACTACTGTGTCTACGAGATGAACAGTTTGAATCACCATTGTTAGACTAGAATAGGACCACAAGACAGAGTATAGAAGGATATGGATGATACTGGCATAGAAGCAAATTATTCTTGTTAATTTTTGACTCGTTGTCCACTCTCAAATTAATTTAGTTTTGATGAATCTTATTTCTTAATTGAATAAAGATTTGTAAAAAGATCTATTTTACTCGATTTTACAAGTTTCCTTATTAGTTTTGAATTGGATTGTAAAGAAACTGAATTAATTTGAGAATTGTGCTATAAATATAAGTTATTATGTTGAAATACCTCTTGGGTTTATAATACTTATAGCTCTATAAGTATTCCTTCTTTTTGATGGTGACAATTATAGTTTGTGGGATTGTCCCTCAATGTTGGCTTCGTTGAACCATGTAATATTTGATGTCTTGTGTGATTGTATATTTGTCTCTATCTTTGTCTGTGTTCTTCTTCCCAATATTCATAAGTATCATCAATTTGATGTGGTTAAATTTTTTAGTTCTCTAAATAATCTAGTAGAAATTTGGGAAGGAAAATGAAAAGAGGAAAGGAAAATAACAAAAGTAGAAATTACAATTTTGTTACTTTTCCTTTCTTTTTACAAGTTGAAGATGGAAGCATACCCGAAATGTTATGTTTTGTCTCGCTTGAATGGACAATGCATGACCATATGGAATTGGTTTCTTAATGTTTTAACTCTTGTTGGATAAACAATCCATAAATTGTAGACAACTAATTTGTAGTTGTGATGAGACAAAATGCTGCTATAATATTTTTTCTAGTGTTTTGTGGCTTCAAGTTCTTTATACAATGATATGCAAATGCAGTAAAGAGAAGGAAGAGAGGGAATTACTGTGAGAGAAAACCATGGCTGAGAAAGAGAACCAGACACTGTTGCTAACTTGTTGCAGAAGAGTCCCATTAAAATCTTCATTAATTTGACGTTCAAGGATCAAAATCACAAAACCAATGAACACAAAGAAACAAATACTTGTCACCCATAGATCCCAAGTCAATGGCTTCAAAAAAACCCATGCACTTTTGTAATTCTTCTTGTCTTTAAAAGGCACAATCATTGTCACACCAGATTCAGTGTATGGGAATGTAAAGTCCACGTAATTGGATCTGTTTTCCCTAATAGTAACATCTCCAACCACAACATCAAATTTCTGTTCATCAAACAAAAAAACCAAAAAAGTGACATATTTATAAATTATAATCATAAGAATGCCCTTATTTAGTAATTTCATTTTCACTTTGTCAATGCAAATGAGATCACCAAATAAAAATATTATTGTTCTAAAAAAATAATAAGTTGGGTCATATACTTCACACATGACATGATTTTGTTCAAATCTCTAACAAAATTCTAATAAAAGTGTTGAGTGTAACAAGTTCTTTCTTTTTGTTAATAAAAAAAAAAGTGTAACAAAATAATACTTTAAAATAGTGGATTGTTGAGTTTTGAAATTCATAAAGTAAAATACAAATAAGTCATAATTTTAAAAAATTTATTATTATTATTTGTAAATACCATTACCATTACTGTTCTGAGCCATGTTTATAAATTTATTAATTCATTATTAGCGATCCCGGTTGTCCCTTTACTGTTCTGTTGTTTTCCGGACTCGGTTCCGCGAAGTTGGTAGTGGTATCTATCTTGTTATTGTCCTTTAATTCCACTTGATTGAGTTTTAGGATGTTTTGAGCAGGGTTGTTACAGGTTGGTTAGGCCTTGGTTTCAATTCCTTGTTGTTCAGTTTTTAGGCGATCCGCTCGAGCGGGTCTTCTTACGCTCGAGCGGGGATTGCACACTTCTAGTATTTCGTGTTCCTGCAAAACTTCTGCAGATGTGATTTTTACGCTCGAGCGGGTTTGTTTACGCTCGAGCGGTAGGGCTCAAGCGGGTTTGTTGGCGCTCGAGCAGGTAGTACTTTCTGGGTATAAGTTCCGGGAGGGGGAAATCTACGCTCGAGCGGGCTGGTTTTCGTGCTAGAGCGGAAGTACTTTATTCTTGTGTCTTGGCGCTCAAGCGGGCCTTATTGCGCTCAAGCGTGTCCAGATTTTTGTTCTTGGCACTCGAGCGTTGTGTTCTCCGCTCGAGCGGGTCATGCGTATATGAGTTATCCGCTGGGTGATTTTAAATCACTTTTTACTTTCCTTTCTCTCTCCTACTTTTTCTAAAACCCATTTTGAGAGCTCCTCTCTCTAAAACCTTGACTTCTCTCTAGGTATTGATCTAGTAGGAGTGATTTCCTCACCTTCGGCCTTTCTAAAAGTTGTGTAGATCGTCGAGGGCGTCATTTTCATCCGAAAATCTTGGTCTTTGGAGCACTTTGGTTTTGGTCTCTTCTCCATCCGAGCTCTAACTTCGGGGTAGGGATATCCTACTCCTCTTTATGAGCTTTGTCTTTAAATTTTAGTATTTTGAGATGTTGGGGTTGGTTTGGTAATTTTGTGAAAGTTGTGGGCTTTTGTGTAAATTTACAAATGTTGGGTTTTAACTATATAAAAAACTAGATACAT